TCCCACCGCTCTCTTCGCGCAAAGACTTCACGCATTTCTTTTACATGGCCCTCACTTGGCTATGGGTTGTTTTCCATTATATATCCTTTGCCCATCTTGTCATGTTCACTTTGCATGATATTCTCATTACTATGCCTTTGGCATGCATTTGTGACCCATGCTTTGCATTACACATGATGATTGATTCTAATACTTGTATGTGTATTTGCAAGCTTGGTGGAGATATCACTTGTTATTGTCATGTTTGCTTTGTGCCCCATGCCTATGATTTTACTATGATTGCTTGCCTTGTTGCATCACCGATGATTCATACTTGCTCGCTTCATGTGGTTGATGACAACCATCTACATGCTTTGCACGACATGATTGTTATTGCTTCTTGTCATATATCTCCATGTGTTGCCTCTCTCATGTTAGACAATTTGCCATGTATTGAGTGCAACAGTGATTCTAATTTTGCTCATGAGATTGCCCCCATAGCATTCTCACATATATTTGGAGATTTTGACATATTTCTTTTAAAGCATGCTTGTCTTACCTCTTTGCACCATATACCTAGTTCCATGAATATAGCCATTGTTGCATCATTTTATTCATGCACTTGTGCTTCTAATGGTTATGTGTAAGAGAAGAGAACCATCATGATGGATGATGTGTTTATCTACCATGCGCATACATTCTTTGCTTTCTTGTGTGCATGTGTAGGATACTTGGACCTTGTGTCGACTTCCGCTTCACATGAGTTGACCATTCGAGCTCTTAAGAGCGAGCCTCATACATTCGACCACGACTCGCTTCTCCAACACCTTTCCTACCACTTCGGCATTGTGAAGAATGCACAAGGACACGCCTTCAAGTGTTTGTTGTCTTTGCTCCTTTTGAAGGAATCCCAAGACGATGCGACATTGGAGAGTGCCCATTTCGAGCTTCAAGATGACGAGAACTTGGTGATCGACCACTCCTACATGGTGACGCCATCTCTTTCCCATGGTGATTTGGATTTCGATCCGAGGTCAAATCTTTCCCAAGGGGGAGGACATGATGCGGAGCATCCTATGGACATCACCATGTCAAGGGTTCATTCGGCAAGTGACATGTGCCACATCTACTTCACATACATAAAGGTGAATCATCTCCTTTACACGTGCTCATTTGACCCCTTCGAGGATGGTATACTACTTGACACTTCTCCCGTGTGCATGCATAGGTATTGTTGGAGCTTCATGGACGACGAGGAGGAATGCAAGCGCCAAGGAACAACTACACCATCCGCGAGGGAAGCGTGGAAGAGAAGGAAGAAGAAGCGCGGACAAGCTTCTGGAAAGCCCGGAACTTCCGGCCCCCGGACCTTCTGGCCTACCCGGAACCTCCGGCCCCCGGAGTCCAGACCAGCCCCGAGCTCGCCAACTCTCTGAATAGCCCGGAGCCTGGCCGGAACCTGCCTGGAACTTCCGGCCCTGCCTACGCGCAGACACTCGGGCCGAAGCCCATGTACCCTTTCGCCACTCACTTACCCATTCATGGACCTAGACTATATATACTCCTTCACCTCCTCCTTTCTAGGGTTAGCAAAGTAGTAGCTCATTTAGAGATAGAGCTTTCCTCATCCATATCAGATCTACTCCTTGAGAGAGACTGCGGCCCCTCTTCGGAGAAGATCCACTTGGATTCAAGACCTCCTTACAGAGAAGGTTACCATTTGTATCGTCCCTTGTTGATCGTGGATCTTGTATCTTCTCTCGTGTTTCGAGGATCTAGCACATGTGTGACTTAATCTTGTTGGTTTGAGTGTTTCTCTTTGTGCCCCTTTGTGATTTCCCCTCGTGTTTCCCCTCGTGTTCTTTGTGTTCATCGTGGGATCCGCTCTTTTCGTGAAAGATCGGCCACATAGGGTTCCACCCTACATCAAAACTAGAACTTTTGTTGCTAAAAAACATACTACTTCCTCCGGTCCATATTACTTCTTGCTCAAATGAATGTATCTAGCATTAAAATATGTCTAGATACATTCGTTTAAGTGACAAGTAATATGGATATGAGAGAGTAGAACTTTTAACCTTTGAAAGAGAACTATCTGCATGATACCCCATTAGACGTCAAACTTCAAAGAGTCGGTGCAAACCATGAAGGTGTTTGTTCAAACTTTAAACTTTGAATAGATCAAATTAATGTCATTGGTTTTAATGCGACTCAACACTTACAAAGTTTTAAGGTTGCAACTCAACAATTGGAGATTAACTCATACATGGACGAATCATACTAATCTTTTGCCAATTAGTTAACATCTAAAACATGAAGTTGAAGATACAAAGTTTTGAGTACAATACAATAAACGGAGATATAACACAGTAGTGTTGATACTAGATCTGTAGAGTGCAGACGTGCAAAATTGCATCTCACTGACCTAGGGTTCATACAAACTGAAAATGAAAACATTGGTTTTGTATAAACAAGAAAAGAGGGGCAATGGAGAGAATGCATGGCTTACCTCACTACAGGTTGCCTCCTTGGTTGTCGGAGTCGCGGTCGATACAGGGATTGGAGGAGAGGCGTTGTAAGCAGAGAGCTGAGAAGCGGGGAGCACGGCTACACATGCCTTTTGTTGGGGCACATAAGTGTGGTATGGGTGGGCGCGACCGGGTTGGGTGTGGGGATATGCACGAGCTAGTAGCCTTAGGATGGACTACTAGTGGGTCGAATGCACATCTAGTTGGGGGCCGTGCTGGCTGAGAATAGTGTTTTGGCTTGTATTAAGAAAAAAATATTGTGTAGGTTGTGTCGAATTTGTTATAGTTTTAGGGGGGGGGCAAATCAGCCGCTTCCATGACCGTTCGATTATGCCACATCGACTGTCCACTTCACAACACATAGCATCACCAACAACCCTGATCCTAGGCAGCACTTCCAGCAACCATTTATGTTGTGAGCCGCATCGTCGTTTTGCCCCCGCACTCGCAAACGGGACAAACAAAATGATCGTCGTTGTTGCAACATCGCTTCCCTCCTTGTTCCATCCTCCACTCATTTTTCGCATTGTGCGACCTCTCCTCCATGCTCGAGTGATTGCAACATCATGGGCATCATCTTCGTGGGATTGCATCAAACGTTGTCATCCTCGAAGCATTAAGGTGGGTGTCGTGAGCCATGTTGCAACGCAACGTCATTGCTTCTCCATTAGGTGCAGGTTGGTGGTGCCGCTCACCTTTGGTAATCAGCAATATGTCGGTCGCCTTGTAGCAACACACATATGTCGCCTTGTAGCAGTGCAACTGTCGATTTGTAGCATCAGTGGCGCCCCCTTGCAATCGTTTCGGTCTTCCACGACACACCGACGGCTGCCTCCCTTGAAGCTTAGCCGGCCTGCAGCATCTAGCACCACCCCTTGTTGCTTTGTAGCATTAGTGAGTTTGCAACATCCGCCACTGTAGCATTTGTTGATGCAGTATCCGCCGTCAACGCTCACAACATCGACGAACGCCATGCAGCAGCCCATGCCCACTTGCAACAGCGAAGACGCCCATGGTTTACCTTGCGGCACAGAGACAGTGCCATGGTGAGAGGAGAGAAAATAAGAGGAATGAGAGGAAGTTCGTTGCACTAATCTGGGGGTAGAGTTGAACATGTGGTTAGGATTATTGTTAAAGGAAAGTGTGTCTGATGGACGAGGCGGTTAATGGGCGAATAGCCCAACCCTTGCAACCTACAGCTCCAGGTGGCGAAGAGCCGACATCGAGGTGCCAAACCTTTCTGTCGATGTGGACTCTTGGGAAAGATCAGCATGTTATCCCTAGAGTAACTTTTATCCGTTGAGCGACGGCCCTTCCACTCGGCACCGTCGGATCACTAAGGCCGACTTTCGTCTCTGCTCGACGGGTGAGTCTTGCAGTCAAGCTCCTTCAAATTAGTCGAAATAGATCCTTCCCCATAGTTTTTTTTTATCCTCAACATAGTTTTAGCCCTTTTTTTCTTTGATATATAATTCTTTAAGGAAACAATTGTTCCATGAGATAACGGAGATCCAACATGATTATTTACGCTAATTCTAGAGAGTGCACGTTCACCATGGGCTCCTGACGGCTCGTCGCATGTTGCCATGGGAGGACATCGACGTCAAAGTTTTATTACTTCCTAGGACTCGATGGATGTGATCATTGTATGCACAGAGATAGTGAAATGTGTGGACTTTTTGAAAATTCTTTCAATAGAATGAAAAAAATCCAAAAGGGGAAATAGGAAAAGTGAAATTTCATCATTGCCCACATTCAAATGAGGCACGACTCGCGAGCTTTATTCAAGCGTCACCGCATAAACTGTTACTCTTCAATTGCTTTGACATAGTAATTTTATTCCCAAAAATCAACTCATCACCAGCACAATTTTATGGAAAACACTAGAAAAAGCCCATATGCGACGAAGATTTTTTGTTGCTGTTGGAATAAGAATAAGGCCAAATACATAAACTGGAAATTCATCATGTCACAAAAATTATCAGAAGCCTCTCAAAAACACAGCAGCCTCTTTTGATCTAACTGCTTCAATTCAAAGGAATTCAATGTTTAGTCTTATCAAATTCTCTATCGGGCCATGAGGATTCAAAAGACGGAAACAAAACCAATATTGTTTCTTTAGTGGTCCATTGTAGATTTTGCCCTGCTGCTTCGCTAACATACAAGGTGCATATTACCACCACGAAACAATCTCATTACTTCAGCAAACACATGGAAAGACAAGATAACCATAAGATAACTTTGCAATCGCAAGAGACCGGAATGACATGTTATGGATAACTCAAGAAGATGAGTGAAAATGACTCATGATTTAGTTCAAGCAAGTACATAATACCACCAAAATGTGAGCTCTAAGCCCAACCAACCATCAGGATACATCCAATAAAAGGTTTTTAGCTGACATAATTCCATACAAAAATTTATTCTCAGAAGAAAGGCTTTGAACACTCCTCTGGGGCAAACCACTCTCCCCAGTAACTTCATGCCTCTCATTTACTTGGAGCTGTGCATGTGACGGATGAGGTCGACCACACGGGTGCTGCATACGGAGAAAATTGAGGATTCAGCAAGTTGATTTCTGCATAGAAGTATAACCTTAACTGCAAGAGCCATAGAAGGTGCCACTGACCTGTATCCCCACTCGTTGTCGTACCAGGAGACAAGCTTGACAAAGTTGTCGTTCAGAGCAATCCCGGCCTTGGCATCAAAGATGCTGGACCTGTTATGGGTAAAGTGGCATCATTAGCTAAGTCAGATGAGTACACACATAGGCAATCAAAATGGACCCATTAATAAAGAGCAGTATGGTTATTGTCAAAGCAATGGTAAACACCTGTTGTCACCCTGGAAGTCAGTGGAAACAAGGTCCTCATCCACGTAACCCAAAATGCCCTTGAGGTTTCCCTCAGACTCCTCCCTGTAAAATCAGATCACTACACATCAATACTGCTCATAGCTGGTATGTGGCCCAAATACCAAAACCAGAAACCATATGTGCATCGAAGTAAAGGAAATTGTTCCTGGTTGGTGGCGTTACTCACTTGATAGCAGCCTTAATCTGATCATAGGTTGCTGGCTTCGCAAGTCTAACAGTCAGATCAACAACAGAAACATCAACAGTAGGAACACGGAAGGCCATTCCAGTCAACTTTCCGTTAAGCTCTGGGAGCACCTTGCCAACAGCCTGCAGGAAATCAAACAGTTACGATTAAATGGTAATCCATCGAACAGATTATTATATTAAGCTACAGTGTTCAAACAGATAACTGATGATACAATAGAAGGCCAGCTGATTATACCTTTGCGGCACCAGTGCTGCTTGGAATGATGTTGAAGCTGGCAGCCCTTCCACCTCTCCAGTCCTTGCTGGAAGGACCATCAACAGTCTTCTGGGTTGCTGTAAATTCAAATTTCAGCCACACATAAGCATACTAGTCTAAGATAGAATATAAAATGTTGAAGAAAAAACCCAGTGTAATGCATTACCAGTCATGGCATGAACTGTGGTCATCAAACCCTCAACAATGCCAAACCTGTCATTGATAACCTGAAAGAAACAAATTATCAGCATACCATTCCCAATATTGGCGGTTGGTTTGAGCAGCACAAAACTGCAATGATACGCACCTTAGCAAGAGGAGCAAGGCAGTTAGTGGTGCAACTAGCGTTGGAGACAATGTCGATGTCAGACTTGTATTCCTTCTCATTGACACCACAGACAAACATGGGAGCATCTTTGCTGGGAGCAGAAATGATGACCTTCTTGGCACCACCCTGAAAGTGGTGACACAGAAAACTAATTTAGTACAAATATACACAAGAAAGGTTCAGGTACCATGAAATGGAAACTGTGAACGAATGTACCTTAATGTGAGCTGCAGCCTTGTCCTTGTCAGTGAAAACACCGGTGGACTCAACAACGTACTCAGCACCAGCAGCAGCCCATGGGATCTCCTCAGGGTTCCTACATCAGGACATTGTATGATAAGCCTGTATACCTTAAAATGAAAACCAATTGCATACCCACAAAAATGAACGGTAACAAACCTGCAGCCAAACACAGCTACCTCCTTCTGGCCGAAGAGAAGGGTCTTGGAGTCCTTCACCTTAACTTCATGGTGCTTCCACTGTCCATGGACAGTGTCATACTTGAACATGTAGGTCTGCAAAATGGAACAATAGTCATTGCGTGGAACAAATAGATTCCTCAAATCTGGAACTACAAAATTATTCTCCACTGGAAGTGAGGAATATAACGTATGCAAAAGGCACTTGCAAAGCAGATCTAAAAGTCGTTTCCAAAAACTAAGAAACATACACATGTAGCAACATTTAAGGTAACCTAGTAGATTCATAAACATCACGAGTTAACATGCTTAGGATTGTGTAGGATTGTGTAGCAAAGCATCAGCGTGTAACGAGAAAAGCAAATCCGATCAGGTTTAGTACAGATCTAAGCTCACAATCGCCAATCCATAAACGGGTCCCATGCACGAATCCACAACGACCCTACCATACAAACCTACAGATCTCATGAGCAATGAGATTCGAGAACGATACCATGTAGTCGGTGGTGATGAAGGGGTCGTTGACGGCGACGAGCTCGACATCGGGGCTCTGGAGCGCAACCCTGGCCACAAGCCTGCCGATCCGGCCGAAACCTGCAGCGCAAAGCAAAAATCCATCCATCAGAGAACGAACCCACGGAAGCAGCCAACAGAGAAGCAAACCAGATCAGATCGGAGGCCCGAGCTCACCATTGATGCCGATCTTGATCGGAGCTGCGCAAACCACGGAAAATTCCAGCAAAAGGAAGGAACAACAATCAGCCAAAGCACCACGAGAAATCGAAATAGTAGAACAGCTAATAAGGTGCTCGGGGTGACGGGGTTACCCATGGGGAAGGAAATCTGGAGCTGCGACGGACGGAGGGGAGGTTGAGAACAGATCGAGGATTGGGACGGCTACTCGAGATTGCGATGCGATTAGCGAGGCCGGGGGGGGCGTTTATATAACGGGTGGTTTCATTGGGTGGCCGGGCCCGCAGGGCGGCGCGGGTTGCGGATCGCCATCTGTTTCTCCGCTACCGGGAATGGAATCGGTGGGTGGCTGACGGGTGGGGTCGGGCGAGGAGCGGCGCGATGGTTTCGAGAAGGTTCCTGTGGGTGCGTGGGACGGGGCGAACGTTGGAGCCTTGGAAACACTGGACCGCTGCTGGGTTTGGCTCCGATAATCACGAGAGAGAGGGAGCGGTGGTGGGGCAACCCTGCTTACTTCTCGCCCAAGAAGGTGAAACAACCGGCGCCTTTCCTTATTTTTTTCCTTTTTTCCTTTTCTTGGAAAACCCCAGCGCCTTACTTCTTGTGCAAGAAGATCAAATGACCGACGGCGTGGGAGGCTTGGTGTGGTTTCAGCGGCCAACCGCCGGTTGCCGCATATGTGGAATTTCAAAAAAAATCTATAAATATTTACAAATGCCTTCTTTCTCATCAGAAAAACAATAAAAAGAAGAAATGCCTCCCACCCATGGTTCTAAAAGGCGCATAGCGGGCGCTATGTCCGCGTAGCGGATTTGTGAAAACACTAGATTATTGTTTATATTTCTAGATCATTAACAAAATGTAATAACATTTAATTTGAGCAATAGCAGCAGCTATTGCGGCCGCAATAGCGGTCGCTATCTCCGTTATTTGAAACTATGCTCCCACCGAATATATTTAAGAGTGTAAAATCTTCATTTCTTGTACAATTTCTCATGATGTCGTTGCCGCAATGCAGGAGGTCGTTGTCGCCAGATCTGGGCTGAGTTCTTCCCCCTCACTAACGAGCCCTAGCTTGCTTGGACCAGTTTGAGGGTGTGGCGGTGGAGATTATTCCCTTTGTCTCTCATCCGGCTATGAGTGTACCCTGCTCTTTGGCACCGCCTCACAGAGACAGAGAGCAGGGTACATGGCAAGTTCTTCGGCCAACCGAGCTAGATAAATGGAGAAAAGGGGAAAGGAGGGAGATGTGTGTGGGGGGAGGGGGTAGGGGGTTCTTTGCACGTCGGTGAATAACATGCTGCGAGGAAGGTCGTCGTTGTTGGGCGGCTCCTCCCGCCATTCGACGTGAGGCCGAAGACCAAAGTTGATGAGCTTCGTTCCTCGGTGTGGCGGTTGTAGGGCAATGCCACCATCCAATGGGTGGGCAGCGACGACCGGTGATTCTTCCTCGGTATTGATGTCGAGGATAATCAGTACTTTGTGATAAAATCACAACTATGGCACTTCAAACGGGGTGGTGTCGTCTTTGTTACCTTCGACGACAAGGAAAGCCCGACCAACGCGGATCTTGGTGTCATCCCATATGGGCTTAGGTGTGTGGGCTCCCATTTGAGCTCATGGCGATGGACATGGGCCGGGAAGAACAAATTGGCGAGGTGGTGGTGGTCTTCCATCGTAACAACGTCATCGTCTACAAGTTCTTGTGCGTTAGAAACAATGTAGCTTGCAGATGTTGGCTAGTCCTTGTGACTTGCAATTCCATGTAAAAGTGTGAGAAATTTCCACAGTATTGTGAGTGTTGTGGCCTGGTATGTGACACTTCCATGCGCTTTTGTGTCACCTTGAAGGACAAGCGGGAGCAAATCTACTCCAGCAATATTCGGGGTGAAGCATATTGGAAGGAGAAGGGCTTGGTTCAACGAGCTCTTAAATTTTGCAACCCCCCCCCCCCCGATTGAGGAACCTATGAATATGGGCTCCGGCAAGAGTGGCTCCACTCTTGCCATCGAGGGGATCGTCGTCGAGGCAGCTACTAATGTTGGTTGGATGGTGGTGTCTCAACCACGCGTGGCCACCACTGAGGTGCATGTTGTGTGACGCCCCTGATTCAATCATACACTAACCATACATGCAAATGTGTACAATCAAGATCAGGGACTCATGGGAAGATACCACAACACAACTCTAGACACAAATTAAAGTCATACAAGCTTTATATTACAAGCCAGGGCCTTGAGGGCTCGAATACATAAGTTTGAATACAAACGAGTTAGCGAAACCAACAATATCTGAGTACAGACATGAGTAAACAAGTCTGCCTTAAGAAGGCTAGCACAAAAGCAACAACTATCAAAAAGGCAAGGCCTCCTGCCCGGGAGCCTCCTTACTACTCCTGGTCGGCGTCGGTCTTCACGTAGTAGTAGGCACCGTCGGGGTAGTAGAAGTCATCGGCAGTGGCATCTGGCTCCTGGGCTCCAACATCTGATCGCAACAATCGAGTATAGGGGAGAAAAGATAGCAAAGCAACCGTGAGTACTCATCCGAAGTACTCGCAAGACTTGCATCAGATCTACACTACATATGCATTAGTATCAATAAAAGGGGTAGTATATGTGGACTAAACTGCATAATGCCAGCATAAGGGGGAGAAGCTAGTCCTATCGACGGCTACATGTTCTGCCAACCACCATCTTGAAGCAGTATAAGAGAGTACTTGGAATGGTAACAAGTATCACCGTATAGCATAATCCTAACCGGAGATCCTCTCCTCATCTCCCTGTGATATCTTTATTTTCTCTGTTATGTTCGGCATTCCCTGCATCCAATTCATTGCAAATCCTTCAGTTAATTCCTTGCAAATCTTTGTGAGATCTTATTTGCCTAGTTAGCTGAGATGACAATTGTTTTCTCTTTGTGTTAAACTCGGACTCACCGGTTTGTTTCCTTCGGTTCAACCGAACCACCTCAGTGCCATTGAAGAAAATAACTCGGCGTGATCGATTTAAATGCTGAGAAAACACTTTGCCATTTGCATCATGCATACTTATTCCAGCTGCACTCAATGATTCTTGTCCTCTACCAGCATCTTACATTACATGTTGCTTTGTAATGTGACTCAAGGACCAAACCTAATTGACTCATGCTCTGGAATATCCCTTCTTGAAAATTGATGTCAAAGGGGGAGAGAGAGCACATCAAAGCTTGTCACATAAGAGAGAATGCACTCCTTAAGCTTCTCTAGATGCTTGTTATCCATAGAGGAGATAAGTCACATGTCTTCAAGAGGGGAAAGACATGTTAGTATGTTTGTTATGATTGATGTTGCTCTGATTTTCTTTTGCCCTATCTTCTCCCATTATCCAATATAAGATTCAGGGGGAGAAAGACATCTAAGGGAAGGAAATCTTCGAATTCATTGCATATCTTTACTCTTTGGGGACATGTCTATATCCAATAGAGTACCCAGTACTCACTCTCTACATGTCATCCCAATCTTGGTGCTCTTGTGGTTTCTCAATTTGCTTTGTCCAGTAGATGTTCATGTGTTATCTAACCTTGTTTACTCAGGTTCATCTCTTCCAAAGCTACTTCAAGACCACAAGGTAAGTATATGCATCACATCCATGTGCATGATGATTTCTTGCTGCTGTACATATTGTTTGCAAGAAGAAATTATGAACATGGAGGTACATTTCCTATAATCACATCATTTGCTCTAATGCATATAGCCAAGATACATGTAACTCATTGCTTGCTCTGTCATGGTTATGCATTCACATGCTCTTATATTCCATATTCACATGATTGCATCCATGTAGGGGGAGCATATCCATGTTACATGTCTTTCCAAAGCTTCACGTGGTATTCTTCATATCTTTATCTAAAATTTTGATGTATGTTGTTATCAATTACCAAAAAGGGAGAGATTGAAAGCACAAGTGCTCCTTGGGTGATTTTGGTAATTAATGTCAACATATCTCTTGTTGGACTAATACTTTTATCTAGTATATTTCAGAAAGTTCAACAAAGGCGTGGCATGGACAAGAGGATGTGGAACCCCTTCAAGAAGCTAAGGACAAGGATTAGCTAAAGCTCAAGACTCTACATTTTCATTTTAGTGGTCCAAGATCACATTGAGTCCATAGGAAAGCCAATACTATTAAAAGGGGATGAGGTGTGGCTTAATGACTTGCTTGCTCAAAGTGCTTAGTGATATGCTCCAAAGCCCTCAACCACTTTCTCATCTCCACATATGTCCCAAACCAAAAGTCAAACTCGGCCCCACCGATTTGATCTATCTGGCGCCACCGAGTTCACTTGACATAGCCACTGTCAGAAACCCTAATCAATTCGATCTCACCGATGGGATCTCGGTCTCATCGAGATGGGCTTGCAAACTCTTTGTTGCATGTTGCAATTATTTGGGTCACACCGAGATATGCAGTCAGTCCCACCGAGTTTGCTTGACCAACTCTGTGTTTGCTTATTACCAAAATCGGTTCCACCGAGTTTGTGTAATCGGTCAAACCGAGTTGAGGTTTTACCCTAACCCTAGCACATCGATCCCACCGAGTTGATCATATAGGTCCCACCGAAAACTCTAACATTCACATTTTGAACCATATCGGCCTGACCGAGTTTCTTGATTAGGTCCCATCAGGTTTGGTGAATTGTGTGTAATGGCTAGATTTTGTGTGGAGGCTATATATACCCCTCCACCCATCCTCCATTCATGGAGAGAGCCATCAGAACATGCCTACACTTCCACTACTCATTTTCTAAGAGAGAACCACCTACTCATGTGTTGAGACCAAGACATTCCAATCCAACCACAAGAATCTTGATATCTAGCCTTCCCCAAGTTGCTTTCGCTCAAATCATCTTTCCACCATGTCCAAATCTGTGAGAGAGAGTTGAGTGTTGGGGAGACTATCATTTGAAACACAAGAGCAAGGAGTTCATCATCAACACACCATCTATCACCTTTTGGAGAGTGGTGTCTCCTAGATTGGTTAGGTGTCACTTGGGAGCCTCCGTCAAGATTGTGGAGTTGAACCAAGGAGTTTGTAAGGGCAAGGAGATTGCCTACTTCGTGAATATCTACCCAAGTGAGGCAAGTCCTTCGTGGACGATGG